ACATCTAACCCGCTTGACAGCACAGACGTAGGTGTCACTGTACAAGAGCATTCAGTTTTGTTAGTCAGATCTCTACCACACAATTCATATATGAGTCAGTGGTATGCACAGCACGATGGGCTCCTTTAGCTCTGTTCACACATGCCAAGTGACAGTCGCAGCCAGCTGCATTAATCTCAAGTGGATCTTCTCGTATAAAGGACACCAGGATTATCCCAGAGATATATGTCTAACGAAAAGCCATCGAAGTGCATGCGCAGAGGGTATCACTTCCATTTCTCCTCCCTCTCGCACAGCCCCACCCCAGAGGATTGATCTGTTTATGCCAGGTTAATCTAGAACCGGCTTCACAAACATCTAGGCACAGCAGCCTCCTACCAGCACGTGAGACGCACCCAGCCAGCATCTTCTTGAAAGGGTAGGGTGAGAAGGCCAAAATTTACAACTGGACCTGGAGCAAGCGGAGGCAGAACATGTCCTTTTGGAGCAAGAGCCTTGTTAAGTAATTTTTTGTCTTTTAGAGCTACGGTGCCAGGAACATCTCACAGTTTCCTTGGAACATCTGCAGGTGCTTGAGCTGTTCCCCGTGTGCAGATGTGAAGTGGCTGGCCCAAGGCTCAAGCAAATCAGATCTTGCCCTGATTTTCTCATGCTTGCTCAGACGTTGGAACACAGCCTTAGGAGGGGCTGGGACAGCCGTCTGTCTAAATCCCTGTATTCTTTTCTGCTAGTGAACTTAAAGGAGCGTTTGCCAACTCCTCTCCACCTGCTTGTTGCTGGAAAATATTTGAGTTAAACTGAAGGCTTGACATACCTAACAAATTCTCCCTCTCCGTGTCTTGGTGTAGCTGTCAGTACCCCATCTTCTCCCTAGTTCTTCCTCTCCAGATTGTGTGTGAATTTTCCCTCCTTTCCCTCCATCTGTACTTCTATATTCGTTCCTTTTTGCTTAGTAGCTCCCCTCTCCCCCTGCTATCGCTCCGGCTGAGCAGAGGGCATCCTGCTTGTTGTGGTGCCAACCGCGCTCCTTGTCGGTGCTACCTGCAGCTGTGCAGGGAGCCACGAGGTAAAACCAAGGGGTTTGGCTTGACATATGAGGGTCAAGATCTCCCCTCTGTACGGTGAGCTGTTCGGCAGCCTGTTGGAGTCTCAGCCGCTGACAAGCAGAGGGAGAAGGGACATCAGGAGGTTTGGGGCAATGGCAATATGCAGAGAGGGGCTGTCATGCAGTTTTTCCCCATCCCGTCCCACTGCCATGTCACCCAGTTTCTAGCTGTTCTGCAGACACATGCACACAGCCTGCCCTGTTGCTGACCTGCTGTCTGAAGCTCAAGCCTTCTCCATTCCCAACCTGCCAGCAATCCCAACATCCACGTGCAGGACTGTCACCCACAGTCCTGGCAATGCTGCAAGTTTGGAACCCGTCGGAAAGATTTTGTAGCTTATGGGAGGCGGTGAAAAAGAGCGTGCTGCTGCCGCGGCGAAGTCAGGAATGGGGCCAGGCTACAAAAGGCTGAGCCAGTCCATATGCTGTAACACCCCCCGCCCCCACCGCATTTACCAGATGTTCAAGTGCACATTTTTTGATTCATCCCATCGTCAAAGTAGAAAACATTTAAAAATGAAGATCCAAGCACAGGCTATCACCCTCTTCAAAAATTAGACTGTTTGGAGATGAGGTTTTACTTCAAGATCATCAAAACAACAGGAGGGGAAAAAAACCAACCCAAAAAAGAGTTCAAGTCAGAAATCCAACCTCAGCCAGTGTAAAATTTAAGTAAACTTTGACGTAAGATAAGCTGAAGAGAAAGAAAACCTCACATCCTTAACTCATACTCCACCTGTGAGCAGGAGCTGGGCTGTGTCTCTGCCTACCCACCACACAGGAACTGCGTTCCAAAACCTGCCTGATTTTGGCTCTGAAGTGTCAACACATCCTGTCTCTAACCCCTCCTTTGCATCGGCCTGTTTGCAGCTGGAGTGCAGCCCAGCTGCACGCTGCGGACTGCACTGTCACCCTGAGCGCTGGCTTTGCAGCCCATCTTGCCACCCACGCAGCAAAACAGCTGCAGGTTTGCTGTGCTGGATGCTCTCTGTGTGCCCGGCATTTCGGGAAAGCCTCCTCCACAGAGAACATGAGTCTCCCATTAGCCTTAATAGTATAGATTTGAACAAGGGGAGAAAATGGCATGCAGTATTAATCGTTGCTCTTCCCACGTGCAGTTGCACAGTTTACACCCCCTTCGGTCCATCTCATCTACTTTCACACGGATGTGCACATGAAGAATATTCTTCACCTTAACGCCAACCACAGGCATTTACCTTCTGAGCAGGATTGGGAGCACACAATGTGTTTGGTGTATCAAAAATGTGGTTCTCCCTCCATTCTTCCTCCTTCGGAAGCAATCATCTCCCACGTGCAGTTGCACAGTTTACACCCCCTTCGGTCCATCTCATCTACTTTCACACGGATGTGCACATGAAGAATATTCTTCACCTTAACGCCAACCACAGGCATTTACCTTCTGAGCAGGATTGGGAGCACACAATGTGTTTGGTGTATCAAAAATGTGGTTCTCCCTCCATTCTTCCTCCTTCGGAAGCAATCATCCCTTCCTGGCTCTGAGGAGTCCCTCAGCTGTTTGTAGCAGGATCTCCTAAACGGCTCTGCAAAGACCACCTCTGCGTCTGCCTGACCACCTGTATTAGACACCTCCCCTGTTTAGGCCCATTAACCTGATCACAACAGCTTGATGAGTTAATGCTTACACAGACACAGTTGGCAGCTTCTAATTAAAAAATTATGGCTAAGCAGCTGCAGAAAAGTTGTAATGTTCCACTAAAAGCCAGATGTCAATTTTATTGGCCCTCAAAGTTTCAAATGAAATGACTTTGGGAGATTTGGAAAGGGGTTTCTTTGGCTGCATGTGAATTCTGTAGATACCTGCCTGCTCTCGGGCTGGCTGACTGCAGCCGGATCCCAAGCATGTGGCCAGAGAGCCTCTGCAGCCCACCAACAGCCCACCAACAGCCCACTGACAGCCCACTGACAGCCCACCGACAGCCCACCGACAGCCCCCTGACAGCCCACCGGCTGCTCACCACCAGCAAGCGGCAAATGGCACAGAGCCTAGCAGACCGATTTGGATCGACATAAAAGGGAGCGATTTGGCATCACGGTCATTGCTTTAGCTTTTACCTAGGGAAGGACCCTTTCAAAAATCCATCTCTGAACTGCATCAGTGTCGAAAATCCACAAAACTGATATGAGCCAAATGCAAAGCCTGTTGAACTGGATAAGAGTCTTTCCAGGAACTTTAATTGGATTGGGCTTTCCCTGCACTGGGGAAAGATTTTATGACACCTACTATAGACTTCCACTCCCCAGCATTTGTAAGACACCTCTCATTTCAGTACCTAACCCTACCTGTAGTCATGTGGAAGCAACGAGCAATCCTTGAAGGTAAAAATTGAAGTAATATGAAAATCAGGAGTCTGTGTTCAGGTGAAAACCTACCTTCATCCTCTCTTCGATTAGCAAACCTTCATGCCTACAAAAAACACATCTTTTTTCCTGATTTTAAATATAAATGCAAACACAATTTCTTCTAATCCTCTCCTTTAACTACATTAATTCTCCTCCTGTAACTTGTGGAAGATGCTATGATTTCAGACACAAGAAGCCTAATAATAGAAATCATCCATCCCCCCTAGAATATAAGTGGATCCATGACCTTAGAACCGTTTTGCTAAGAAATCCAGCTAGAAAACTAATTTTAAGTAAATCTATGCATGTCAAAAATACAGATGGCTTTTCAGGATGCTAACTTAAGCATCATTACATAAGCAGATTAGGGCTGCCTGTTGAGCCAAGACACAAGAGTAGATGGCGCTGAACCCAGTATTACACACAAACTATTCACTTCCTGATACATCTTTCATCTCAAACTTTTGTCAGCCCTCCCCATTACCGAGCCTGCTGAGTGTAAGCACCGCACACAGCGCAGCAGGTCTGCCGGCGAAGCATTATCCTTCGCTAAACCCATTGCCCAAAGCAGCATCTGGCTAAAGCCTATTTCTACAAATGGACCAGGGAAATGTTCTATCCTTCACTCTCTTGAAATGAAAATGGAGGGAAACAGCCTCGTGAAACTCTCAAATATTTAAGCACAGCAGTTGTGGAATGATTTTCTGATATGGAATTATAGAATCAAAATTACCCTCGTGTTACCATTGGTAACGGTGCCTCTACCTGAATATCCACTTAGAAAGTTAATGAGCCTGCTTGAGCCATCAGCTAAAATTACCACAACAGTATGCGATCTGATGTGATTGCGGGAAGCAGGGCAGATACCTCTCTTCATGAGGACAGTTTGTTTTTCACGGGCATGTTGCATAACAAGGCACAGCAACTTGTCTCTCTCTGCTCTGAGCCCTCACGTCAGAGCACATCAGCTGGCTCCGAGAAGGGCCCCTGTTGAAAAGCAGCCAGGGGGACAGGATTCCGTTTTCCCTTCCCTGCGTGTAAGCGTGTCAGGTTTGGTGACAGATGGCTTGGCTGACTGTGCTTGACTATTATCAAGCAGCTATTACCTTTGTAAATTGAATCCCATTTGTAGAGTTTCTGTAATTAAATCTGCAGTGTGTTTGCAAGGTGCATATTGCGTCCCGCATGTACTGGGGGAGCGTGCAAGGCAGTCAGATGGCTGATTTGCACAGCCAGAGCCAGCAGCATCCTCCAGCCACGGGGGCAGGGTGCTTTTGGCAGTGTGTGCTGCCACCTAGCCAAGACCAAGCCCTTGAGTTCAGTCCTGCTGTACATTTGGAAAGCTTAAATTGAAACATATCCCCCCACCCCCCACCCCGATCTAAATAAGGCTTCAGTCCACAGCAGACACAAGAAAATTTGCACTCTTGCTGCTTTGAGAATCATACAGTCAGCAGAAGGGAGCCACTTAAAACAGGGAGTTATGTTTCCCTCAGAAATGTCTTGTACTTACGGTAGAAGACATATTCAGTGTAGCTGGACCAGACCTTGTCGTCTGTGTACTGGTTGACAAAGGAAGCCGTCACCGAGGAGTTACAGGCCACCATGTGGAATCCACACTCGGACAACATGTCAAAAGCCCTCTCCAGGTGCTTGAACTTGAGATAAAACCTGGAGGTGTACCTTTCTGGAGCCCTGTCGGGGTCTCTGCTTTCATTCAAACTTTCTCCAAAGACCTCTTTGACCAGAGCAATCCTTCCACAAACCAAAATCCTTGGGACCCTCCTGAATTTGGCATCTGCTTGGCTCTCCCTGCCAATAGTGCATGACCCCCGGTACCCGATGGTAATGAATCCCCACTTCCGATCAGGTGGTAACAGTGATGAGGGTGGGCATATTCTCGTGTCACTGCCCTGGGAGACCTCTTCATAGTCACTGTGGCAATAATCATCCGGGCTTTGCTTGTTGTCATCGGGAGTCAGGAGTTTGACCAAGTCCGGGAGCTGGAAGTACTCAGCCTCCCTCTTCAGCCTTCCCTTCTCTGGAAAGTGGTCAGGCAGAACCACCTGCTTGTCCCTGAGATAGTCCAGAATATAGCGGAAAAGGAAACCATCTCTGTCAATGAAGAATCTTCCCTTGGAGTCCTTGGCCAGATCATTGGCTGTGTCTCTCTTTGGGGTGAACATTTTCCACAGCAGGGAGTGAGGGGTGCCAACCAAGGTGGAGTGGCGAGTGAAGTAAACCTGGCCACCCACGTTTAGCTCCACTACCTCTGGGAAGGAGTGCAGCCCAGTCCCTTGCTCTCGAGGAGGAAGGTAAGTCCTGCAGTTGCCACTGAGAGCCATTGTACTTTAAAACAGAAATCAGCAGCACGAAGCAGCAGGACTATCAATCACATCAAAGTGCAGAATAAGGCTCCTAACATTAAGGAGAAACAGAGGCAAAAGGGGAAGTGCGAAAAGAAAAATAGCCAAAAGGTTTGTTTAAAAAAAATCCGAATTGTCCATGAGTGACAGGGTGGCAGAAGTGGCTTATACCCTAAGCCAGAGCAGCTGGAGAGCAATCACTCCATGAAATGCAATCGCATCATTAGATCTTCCAACAAAGACATCAAAATCAAGGTCAAGCCAAGCCTACGGTCCTTTGCAGGTCTGCCAAAAGGGAAAACAAAATAGGACATAAATTATTCTTTCAAGCATCACAGAAGCTGCAATACAGAAAAGCCCATCGGTTTAGAAAGTCAAGCTAGGTTTGCTAAACAGGGCTTTTTTTTCCCCAAGTTCTATGCTTCTTTTTCCCAAGTACTAATCAATGAAAGGGCTACATACGCCTCCACCGTTTAAAAGAAAATACATACTTCATTTTTAAAGAAACATCTAATTTAGACAGTCACATGAGGGAACAAGAACAGCGAGTCTTACCTTGGTTACAATTAATGCATAGCTCTTGTAAAGGAAAGCAAAATTTCAAGACACTCAGAACACACATACAGCCACACAGAGTCCAGTCAGTATGAAATCCGATCCCAGCAAGGGACAGCAAAGGCAAGAAAAGTGCTCTTAGCGACATCCATGTAGATCTCAAGAGTTAAACCGAGTCACAGGAAAGTTAACCATGGCAGGTGACGAGGGAAACCAACACTTACAGCGCGATGGGGGAGAAGGAAAAAAAACCCACAACAAAAAAACC